TAGGGCTCAAGTCAGGCCTTGCCCACCTAACTTGCACTATGTGTCTTCACTAGACACATCAATACTACTTAAATTTTCAGCTGCTAGACTATATGGCATGCCATTAATACCACTGAACCTCAATAACATATTTGGGCATCTAGTCATGAATTAATTCATCCATTGCAAATTACTTCAATATGTTTTTAACAATGGGCAATTCATACTCGAAATATCATCCATGGCATTTCATTACCACAAGAATAATCAATGCATTATAATATTCATCTTGACATTTTTGAGATATGTCAATAATATGATGAATGACATAAATTTCATGCTTACTAAATAAGGTAGACTTATCCCAAGTCTTTCCTCTTATGTATAAAACATCCATGAATAATACCATGCATGCATTGCACTCACCTTTACACTTTATAATTATATAGCAAAATATTTGGCCCACTAAGCTTCCAACTTGTTCCTTTTTATAAACGACTAACTTCGAACACGAGGTTAAACAAGATCTGTACAAAATCTCAAATTCATATTGATACATATGTTAGTATTATACTAACATAAATACATTTCCAAAACAAAATCCATAATCATACTTGAAAGTTGTTCACCACCAAATACATTAACACTTATTAATTCCTTTTAATTTTGTCACCAACTTTTCCAACTTATATAAAATGATCCTACACCATTTTACCACTTAAACTTCTAATACCAACATTGAAATTATTACCAACCAAGTACATCTACAAAGGCAGAATTACAAATAAACACCTTAAACTATTCGAATAGGGCAAAAAAATCACTAAACTTTCCAAACTTCCAAAATGATCAAATTTCACATTCTAACATTCATTTCAATTCCCATGTAGAAATTTCAAGAATATTAAATCAATTATATAACAATTACACAACAATCCACAATTTTTCCAAAATTATTAATTTAGTCCCCTAACTTTTCAAAAATTACTAAATGGTCCCTAAAGTTTTATAAAGCTTGTAGAATTCCTCCCACATCATTTCCAGCCCTTACATAATTTTTCCATAATTTTTCTCATCCAAACAAGTCATGGCCGAAAATTCCAAACTTCTAAAACTAAGGTCTTCATGATTTTGCTCGATTTTGATTCGATTCAAGCATGAAATCAACTTCCATCCAACCTTACAAAATCTATACAATCAAATCCCTAATTAAATTTCATCAAAACACAAAGTTTCCCCAAGTTAAGATTTGGTCGAATCTTAAAGAACAAGCTCTAGGAAGATTGAACATGTTCTAATCATCATACAAGCATGAATATGAATCTACAACCTCAAAAATTCAAGATTCTTCATCAATTTCATAAACCCTAATGTGAACAGAAACCCTATAATTTGGGTTCTTTGAAATTAAACAAGATTAGCAAGATAAATAGTACCAAAAGATAGCGTTTTTTCGCATAGAACAATTTCCTATTTCATGGCATAACTCAAAACCCAAAGGAAATTGCTCAAAATCCAAAGGAAATTGCTCAAAAATTGAAAAGAAAATTTCTCTCACCTTTGGGAGAAGCTCACGGCTTGGAGAATAAAAATATGAACAAGTTTATGAAATGTTAGGTAAATTTCATGTTAATTTATCTTTAATTTTACTTAAATGAATATTTTATTCATTTAATAGAGAAAAGACCAAATTACCCTTAATGAAACTCATAAAACCAAGACACCTCAACCTTATCATCTTCCAAAAGTCGAAGATGAACAAATTATTTCTTTCTTTACCGTTTTGCGCTTGCAATTTCCTAAAAATTACAATCTTAATACTTTAATCCAACGGTCCAAATTTAACATGGAATTAAATCCTCAAATCCAATGGTTTATATTATTTTCCATCATTTTAAAATGTGGAAATAATATTTTTTAAGCATAATTCATCATCCTTCAATTTTTTTCGAAATTTCTATTTGTTCTGATTTACCATTTTTTTACCGAACTTTAACTCTTTCTAGTTTTCAACATAAATTATGGATCAAGAATCTAATTTCAATAAAACCCCACTTTCAATAGTAAACTATCCATTTATGGTCTTTTTGGGAAAATTACCACTTAGGTTTCTGTTCGTGTGTTGTGATTACTATAAATTATATGCAAATAATGTGAAAGTATACACAATCGCTCAAGTAATATAATGATCAGTGAGTATCGTCTCCACAGGGATTGGGTGAAATTACAAAAGTCTAACCAAAGAAATGTAATATTCTATCTAAGTATAGTTAGTCTTGATATATACAAATGTCACGGCAATGTAAATGTGTATGCTGGTGGATATGTAGTGATGGTCTGATGGTGTAGCAAATGGAAATGCAATGGCAATGATGGATGTTTGATGTTGAGTATGGTGAAATGTCAAGGCAATGAAAAATGATAAAAACAGTAAATAAAGATAAAATGAAAAGAAAATAATCCTCACGTGACAAGCTTCCAAGAGAATGAATGGTAGGGATTAATCTACGGATGCTAAACTTATTTCTCAAGTATATTTAAGCTAACTGGTCTTTACTTACTCGACAGGGCTTTCCTAAAGTGTTCTAAAGAACCTAACAGAATAGGATGCCAAGGCATCTGCTCTCACTCAACGATGTTGGCCAGCCTACCCTATTGATAAAGACACCCTTTTTAGTCGTTGAAATCCTATCCTAGCCTCTTCCGAGATCTAAGGGATTAAGTTATAATATTCCTAGGCCGGTTCAAAGCCCCTTGAAAATACTATAACTCATTTCTTATGAGGATCTTATCTTGCGTTTCTTCCGAATACTTACAAGTATTTTTAGTCTAGGATTCTTCCGAATACCTAACCTTCATCTAAGAAATGGACATTTCCATGCCTCTTACAAGCCTAGATGGTGAAGCATTCATAAGCAAAGCAAATAAATAACCAAAATAAACTTAAATATACCATTAAAAATAAAGTTCAAACAACCATTAAAGCAACCACCACCAAATAAGTTAATTCATGGTTGGGTTCAAAATATCCAAACACAAAGTCATGAAAATATTTGTTCCAACAACCCACAAATAAATATAAAATAGCAGCAAAAAGGGAAATTGAGAAGAAGCCTTCGACGCGCCACCGGAGGTCTCCTCTCGGCCACCGTGAACTACCTAGCTCGCTAGCTCCTTTCGGCTCCTAGCTCGCCACTCCTTGGAGCTTTATCAATGGAGGAATATCCCAAGGAAGAAGAAAGGAAAACAGAAAATAAAAATGTGATTTTTGATACGGTATGTGTCCTCCTCTCTTTCCCCTCTTTTTTTTCTCCCTCATGAGGTGTCATATATAATAAAAAATATCTAGGGGTAATGATGAGGTTGTTGGGTGCAAAATACCCCTCATACCCCTAGAATCACATGTTGGGTGTGAAACTTATCCTCCAAGTGGCAGTGGTCCTTTGGCAGCTATGGTAGGCGGTTACAGCAGTCCTTCACGTGTAGAGACAGTTGTCCAGTGCCAGCTGTCCTTATGCATAAATATTTTTTTTTCTTTTTCTACGCCGGAAATGCCAAGGCATTTCAATATGCTTTAGCAACGTGTGATGCCGCGGCATTACTTCCCAAAGAATCCTTTTTTCTTGCTATTCCCTGCACACCACAAACAAACTGCACCTTTCCCTCAAACAACACCATTAAGAAATAAAATAGCACAACCACCACAAATGCACTATATGCAACTACATGATCCTAAAATGCCTAAGATGAGCTTTTAAAAAAACAATAACTTAAGTGAAAAAGGCCTTAAAAGTAGCCTTTTTAGGAAGTTAACACACCCCCAAAGTTAAGCTATTGCTTGTCCTCAAGCAATGGATAGCAGTTACATAAGCAGAATGTCATGGCAATTTTCTACAGTGGGGGCGTAGGACAAAATTGAATTTCATCCCTCAGAAAAAAAATAAGCTTCAACATGCTAGACTTATCAAGAATTCAAGTACTTTTCCCTAGGTCAAGATCCCTTGTGGTAGTGTGTGTGCATGATTGTATTCAATCTATACTTAGCAAACTTAGACTATTTCTAATCAAGCCCCCTAGTTTTTGCCAAGGCGTTTACTTATTCATCAAGCAAATTTTTACTCCATTTTCTTTGATTTTTTTAATGCTGTTACGAAGGGAGTCAGCTCATCACACCTACTCTCCCACACTCTAGATGAAAGGGAGCATACCTTCCACCCCCAAGATAGTTAAGTAGAGTCATCCCGTGACTACTTTCATTCACTCATATGCACAAGGCTACCATTTATTAAAGAAAGTTCTAGGCAATGCCACGTCAAAGAGGAGTGTCCCTCTACAGCTATGCCTAAGCATTTATTCATAGTTTTATTTTTAAAGGAGTTTGTTTTTGATTTTTCTTTTAAGCACAAAACTATATTTCAATGCCAAAACTAACTAGTGTTCTTTCATAAAAATTTTCTAAATTTTCTAAGTATAGATAACATACAAATCATGTAAAAGATTTTCACAAAGAATCAAGCCCTAAAGTGAGTTCTATCATTCTCAACAGTCATTTACATTTAGATTCTAGCCTAATATTATCATCATCGGGTATCCTCAAAACATTTCATCTAACTGTCCTACCATTTTCTGATGCCATGGCATAAACCTATTCTAATGCTATCATGCATATGACCTACCAAGAACCATACCTCCCCCAAACTTAAGGGAAGCATTGTCCTCAATGCTGAAAGAGAACTATACTAAATATAAACTATATGCCATGGAATGAAATGCAACTAAATGAGAATGGATGTAAGAGAGGTACCTCAATGAGTGCGTGGTGTTGCCTTGGAGGTGCTAGCAGCTCCTCGTCGGGTGCGCTTGCGTGTGTTGGACTGGACTCGGACGAAGTGGAGTAATAATGCACAATATTGGAGCGTCCAGCCGTGGTTTTGATGCATTTGCCACGACGTGGTGCAGGAGAAGGTTTGGGTGCTGGGACAGGGTTGGGTGTTTCTTCGAAAGGGACAGTGACCGGATACTCAGGAGTTTCGGAATGGTACGGAGTAGGAATCGGATCCAGGATCGGCTGCATCTTGTTTGGGCTCTGGAGATGCCTCGGCATTAAATGCCGATAGAATTTCGTCTGGAAAGCCAGGGAAATTTCGTTGACCGTGGGGAATAATTTCTTGAAACATTGATTCCACCTTAGCATCTCCATGCTTCACGTATCCAAAGAAGTTACGGATGTCACTGTGTAAAGCATGAAGGTGCGTCTGAGTCTACATCACATCTTCCTCGAGAGCAAGTAACCTTGCCTCGGCATTTGATTGTGTAGTACCTACAGATTGCTCATGAACAGATTCTTTAGATTTAGGATTTTCAAGTCCTAATAGCAGTGGGAGTCTGACTCTAGTGATGCCCGATAAACCAGGTAAAATTTCATCAAAAGCATTTTCCTCAACTTTTTTCTTACGACATAAAGCGGTAATTAAGTTAGGAAACACCAAAGAACTTTCCTTTTTACCCAAACAGTCGTTAACTTGCTGAACAATAATACAACCCACATCGATCGGACGGGATTCCATTATAGAATGTAAAAGCAATAAGCGTGAAAGTGATACCGTCGTGTTGTGAGAAGTCGGCATGAGTTTATGCTTAAGGAAGTGATTCCATAACTTGGCGCTTGGCTGAATACATTCTCGGTTGACCGAGTATCGACTCGTTTAACGCCCATTCTACTTAGTGTTTTCAAAAAAAAGGTCCTCCAAGACCCCATCGTATGTGTTGCTATCAGCCTCCTCTTCGAACATGGCATGGTTATCCACAACATCCTGCAAATGAAAATAACGATTAATAACAGAAGGTGTAAAACGGATCTTCTTACCTCGAACGAAGATGGAGTGTTGGTTGGGCTAGGAAATATTCGCGTAGAACTCCTTAACCACCGAGGCATTCACCGAACCAGGATGACGGGTAAATTTCTTCTACTTAAGCGGTGTCACGATGTCCATAACATCGGGTCCAAAACCACCATCAGTTTCCTCGGTAAAAATAAATCCTAACTCAAAAAAAAGTTTCTGGTTCTTGAAGTCTTGGAACCGAGCCTTGGCCTCGTCATCTTTGAACTGTTGCCAAGTGGTAGTGTCGGTTGGAGCCGGTCTTGAACGCACCATTTTCGTGTGTATATAAAGCAAGAAAAATGATAAAGGAAGAAACTTTTGAAAGCTTTAAAAACTTGGATGTATTTTGGCTATGGAGAGAATAACAAAAGAAGAAGATGAATGAAGGATAGAAAAAAAGTAAAAGTTAAAATGAAAGAGAAAAAATTAATAAAAAAAAGAAAAGAAAAAGTTAAAAATTTAAGAGGGAAAATGTGTGATAGGATGGTTAAGAGAGGAGTGAGTGGGTGGGGGTTTGTGTGTGCATGGGGAAGGAAAAAAAAGTGCTAAAAGGTAATGATGGTGATAGGACAAGTCTGTGGAAAGAGAAAAAGAAATGTCAGAAATTAAATTAAATAAAAAGAAACAAATCAAAAGAATATATCTCCAATTAATGCATTGTCCTTTCCTCCCTTTGGTAACCGCTCCTTACACGGTTTGCAGTACTGCGGTCCCTACAAATCATATCAAAAATTAATTACAAAATGAAATAAAAATAAAAATAAAGAAAAACTTAAATTTTAAATTTTTATTTATGCACAGACACAAATTTAATGCCGTGGCATCGAATTTTGGTTCTCCTCTGGGCACGCTTCACTATCTTGTAGACGTAACACATCCTTGTTGTGTGGTGGTGGAACTCCATTGTAGGCTTTCAGACGCTGGCCATTGACCTTGAAGATCATCCCATTGTCTATTCTCTTAATGTCAACAGCTCCATGGGGATAGACATAATACACCTCAAATGGTCTTGACCATCGAGATTTGAGTTTCCCAGGAAAGAGTTTGAGTCTGGAGTTGTAAAGCAAGATTTTTTGCCCCTCATAAAAATGCCGTGGCATCAGTTTCTGGTCATGCCACTTCTTGGTTTTCTCCTTGTATATCCGAGCATTCTCATATGCTTGTGCTCTAAACTCTTCCATTTCGTTAAGTTCAAGTAATCTCTACTCCCCAGCTAGTCGAGCATTAAAATTCAATCGCTTGATGGCCCAATAAGCTTTGTGTTCAAGCTCAACCGGGAGATGACAAGCTTTACCATACACCAACTTAAAGGTTGACATCCCCAAAGGAGTCTTGAATGCAGTTTTGTACGCCCAAAGTGCTTCATCCAACTTTGGCGACCAATCCTTACGCCTTGGGTTCACCACTTTCTCTAAAATCTACTTGATCTCTCGATTAGATATCTCTGTTTGGCCATTTGTCTGTGGATGATATGATGTGGCAATCTTATGTCGAACTCCATATCTCTTCAATGCCTTGGCAATCAACTTGTTATCAAAGTGGGTTCCCTCATCACTAATGATAGCACGAGGTACTCCAAACCAAGTGAAAATATACTTGTGCAAAAACTTGAGTACGGTCTTGGAGTCATTCCTTGATGTTGCTATTGCTTCCACCCATTTTAACACATAATCCACAGCAAGAAATATATATAATTTTCCTTCAGAAGATGGGAATGGTCCAATGAAATCGTTACCCCACACATCAAACAGCTCTATCTCTAAAATATTTTGCAGCGACATTTCATGTCGTCTGGAGATGTTTCTAGTCCGTTGGCATCGATCACATCCTTTGTAAAATGCTTGGGCATCTTTAAACAGAGTTGGCCAGTAAAAGCCTGATTGTAGGACCTTAGCAGTAGTCCTTGCTCTACCAAAATGGCCTCCACTTGGGGCCGAATGACAATGGTACAAAATATCACTTTGCTCCTCTTCAGGTACACATCGTCTAATGAGCTGATCGGCACAATGCTTGAATAAATATGGCTCGTCCCAAAAATAGTGCCTTGCATCGTTCTTGAACTTCTTTTTAGCCTGACTATTCAAATCAAAAGGCATAATTCCACTAACAAGAAAATTAACAAGGTCAGCGTATCACGGGATTGTCGTGGCATATAAAATTTTCTCATCAGGAAATTCCTCTTGGATATATACAGTGTCATGGCATTTAGAATTGTTCTCTAGCCTAGATATGTTATCAGCAACTTGATTCTCAGTTCTTTTTCTATCTACCACCTCTAAGTCAAATTCTTGCAAAAGTAAGATCCACCTAATAAGTCTAGGCTTGGCATCCTTTTTGTTCACTAAGTATTTTATAGTCGAATGATCAGTGTGAATAATAACTTTAGTGCCTATTAGGTAGGGTCTAAATTTATCAAAAGAAAATACCACGGCAAGTAATTCTTTCTCAGGGGTGTTGTAGTTTAATTGTGCTTCATTTAAAGTGCGGCTAGAGTAATAAATAACATGAAACATTTTACCTCGGCGTTGCCCCAAAACAGCTCCTACGGCATAATCGCTTGCATCACACATCAGCTCAAATGGTGATGTCCAATTGGGAGGGACTACAATGGGTGCCGAGATCAGTTGTCGTTTCAGCTCAGTAAATGCGCCGAGGCATAATTCGTCAAACACAAAGGGTTGGTTTTATTGAAGCAATGTGCACAAGGGCTTAGAAATCCTGGAGAAGTCTTTGATAAACCTTCTATAGAATCCAGCACGTCCAAGAAAACTTCTTATGCCCTTGACCGAAGTTGGTGGTGGCAACTTTTCAATCACTTCAATCTTCGCCTTATCAACCTCAATACCCTTATGAGAAATTTTGTGGCCTAATAGAATGCCTTCAGTCACCATGAAGTGACATTTTTCCCAATTTAAGACCAACTCAGCTTCCTCGCATCTCTTGAGAACTTTTGCTAAATTGCCGAGGCATTGTTCAAAATCGTCCCCACAAACAGAAAAGTCGTCCATGAAAATCTCCAGAAAATCCTCAACCATTCTGAAAATATGGCTTGCATACAGCGCTGAAATGTTGCCGGGGCATTACAGAGTCCAAAAGGCATCCTCCTAAAGGAAAAAGTGCCATAGGGACAAGTAAATGTAGTCTTTTCCTGGTGCTCTGGTGCGATGGTAATTTGATTGTACCCCGAGTACCCATCCAAAAAGTAATAGAATGCTTTGCCGGCTAATCGATCCAACATTTGGTCGATGAAAGGTAGAGGAAAATGGTTATTCTTTGTAGCTTTGTTGAGTTTTCTATATTCCATGCATATCCTCCATCCGGTCACAATGCGAGTGGGTAATAGCTCATTATCTTCATTAGTAACCACCGTCGTGCCTCCTTTCTTCGGAACACATTGGAAAGGGCTCACCCATGAGCTATTTGAGATAGGGTAGATCACCCCAGCATCAAGCCATTTCAGAATTTCTTTCATCACCACTTGCTTCATAACATGGTTGAGTCTTCTTTGTGGTTCTATTGAATTACCGTGGAAATCTTTAAGCAGAATCTCGTGCATGCAGATCGTGGGACTTATGCCTTTCAAATCGGCCATTGTCCAACCAATTGCATTTTTATGCTGCATCAATACACTTAACAAACTTTGCTCTTGATTAACAGTAAGGTTAGCGGAAATAATCACCGGTAAAGTCTCATTGCTACCTAAGTATACATATTTAAGATGCCTTGGCAAAGTCTTAAGTTCTAGAGTGGGTGCATGCATTAATGAAGGCTTAGGAGGAATAAATTCATCAAAAATTATAGGTTCAAAATTTATACCTGATATAGCTTGTAGTAAGCTAGATTGTTCCTCCAACATTAGAAAGTTGTCGGACTCCACTAAGCTTTCATCATCCACCCAATATTCATTTTCTGCTAGCTGAATAAAATTGTTCTGGCAAAGATGTTCAGTCTCTTCTTCAATCACTGAGTTCAATTCAGAAATGCCTTGGCATTCTTCAGTGTCATCAACATATTTGAGTGTTTGAAAAACATTGACAATCACACACTGATCAACCACTCTCATGGTGAGTTCACTTTTTTCACAGTTTATCAAGATACGTCCAGTGGCTAGGAAAGGTCTTCCCAAAATGATTGGTGCCTTGGCATCAACTTCGCACTGCAGAATTAAGAAGTCGACTGGAAACACAAACTTATCCACCCTTATTATGACATCCTCGACTCTCCCTTCAGGTTTCACATGGGATCTGTCGGCAAGTTGTAAAATAACTGAGGTGGGTCTTGCATCTCCTATGCCAAGCTTCAAGAATATCGATTTCGGC